AGATTGTTGATAGATCTTCCACCAATCTTGACCCACATTTCTCCTCATAAAGCCCAGCCTCCCGTTTAGTCTGTTCTGCATACAGGTTGAAAAGGTATGGATGGAGATAGGATGCATCCCTGGCGTATGCCCTTCCTAATTTTGACCCATGCAGTGTTCCCTTGCTCTGTTCTGATGAATGCCTCCTGGTCCAAGTATACGTTTCGCATTAGAACGATCAAGTGTTCTGGGATTCCCAACTTCATGGAACCCAACAACATCAGAGGCAAGGATATTGGACCAGTGGTGTAACGCCTTATATACTGTGCCTACAGGGCTCCACATAGATCAATGTAGATATGGACATTTACTATTCTAAGAAATAATTTTTAAAAAATATGAGTTTTTAAATGCTTACTACCTATAGGTTCCATGCAGTTAATTATTATTCATAGCAACTCAGTGAACAATAGATCGGAATTCTGCCTTATCCTCACCATCATCACCATCTCTGCTATGCTCAAATCCTTTGTTACAGGTTCTGTATCAATCTGCCTTCTTGAGGGTCTTCCTCTCTTTCTCTTATTCTCAACCTTTTCCAGTACGATGTCTTTTTCCCAAGGACTAGCCCCACCTGATGACATGGCCAAAGTATGTGTGTGAGATGAGGTTTCACCATTCTCCTCTCTAAGGAGTATCCTTGTCGCACATCCTCTAAGGGAGAACTCTAGTTACACTTCCTCCAAGAAATATTTGCTTGTTCTTTTGACAGTCTGTGGAATATTCAATACTTTTCACTAACCCCAGATTCAAAGGCTTTGACTTTATTGGCATTCCATATTTACTGTCCAACTTTCAAATGCATAGGAAGCAACTGAAAAATATCATGATGTGAATCAGGTGCACTTTAGTCTTTAAACTGACAATATTGTTCTTGAGTACTTTGGAGAGGTCTTGGACAGTAGCTTTTTCCAATGCAACATCTCTTTTGCTTCCCCCCCTTTACTGCTGCTATTAATGTGGGTATTGATGGTGGATATAAATAAAATATTGACAACTTCAATATTTTCTTCATCTATTAGGATTGCTCTTTTTTTCTATAATTATATTTTATTAATTTTCATAAACATTTACAGACATTTTTGGGCTTCCACTCATTCATTGTTGCACTATTCTCTCTACCCTCCTCCCAGTTTGTTCTTGTCCAAATGCCACAGTGCTTGTCAAAGCCAGTTCTGATTAATCTTCTTTGTCAGTGTATCCTTTGCCATTCCCTATCACTCCTCCCTGAGAGAGACTTCACCCTGAGTCATAAGGAAAAGGGGACGGCGTATTCTCTTAGCTACTTCCTGCTGAAAAGGGACGCTGTGGGTTTCAGGGTGAAGATCTTCTCTCACTACTCTAAAGGGCCCCTTTGGCAGTAGGAAACACATAGACTATTATGGAGATTGATTTTGGAATTAGGATTGCTCTTGGGCCAGTGGTGAGTAGTTTTGTTTTCTTGATGTCAAGAAGTAATCTACATTGAAGGTTGTAGTGTTTGATCCTCTACACTAACTGCTTCAAGTCTTACTTTCTGCAACCAAGGTTATGTCATCTGCATAACATATGGACTATACATATGGACTCTGTCCCTATAACTGTTCAAATTCACTACAAGCTCCACGAGAGAAAGATGGGCAATTTCTTCCCAGGTGATTTTTACTTAAAATTTTTGAAACTCTCTGGAGGGCCAGCGATGAGTTGGTTCTGATTGTATGGCAATAACTTTGACTGTATACATAGCAACTGAAAGTATGGTCTCTGCCTTTGAGCTGTGGTACTAGACAATAGTGTTGAATATACCATGGACTGCCAGGAGAACAAACAAGTTCATCCTAGAGAGGGTGGAACCAGGCTGCTCCTTGGAGGCAAGGATTCTGAAGCTTTGTCTGACATACTTTGGACATGTTGCAAGGAGGGACTAGTCCTTGACGAGGGACATCATGTTTGGAAGGGTGGAAGGACAGAGAAAAAAGGAAGACCAATGACGAGATGGATTGATTCAGTGACTGGGGTAATGAGGGTAGGTATGTCAGAGACAGTAAAGTTGGCACAGAATAGAGCAGGTTGAAGGACTATTGTACATAGAGTCGTAATGAATTGCAAGGAACTTGACAACACATAACAATGACAGCAATGTAATGTCATATAAAGACATTTTATTCTTTAATGAATCAAACTAGGTACTCTGTAAACTATGCACCATATCCTGCCTCGTTCCAATTATGAGCTTAGGATTTTATGGAAAAAAAAATTTAAAATGGTATGTGCTTACAAAGCTTTTGAACTATACATAATTATGTTTGTACTAACTTAACTAAGAAATAGGCAATATTTCTTTCATGTTGGTAGATGCCTTCAAGACAGTTTTCATTCTGTATATAAGAGGTGAACAATGCTCAGTCCTGGCCATCCTCACAATCATTATTATGCTTGAGTCTGATGTGGTTGTGCTTTGTCAATCTACCTCATTGTAGATCTTCTGCTTTTTGAGTGACCTTCTACTTTTCCACTAAATTAAATGAAAACACTCTGTAAGATTATAAAGTGCTATGAGACTAGACTCTTACCATCAGTTAGTTTACAATAGATCCAGCACCTTCTGAGAATAATATATCCTGGTGAAGGCAAACCTTTAACTTTGACTAAAGCACAGGCAAGATGGAATAGCTGACACCGATTTACTTTATGTGAAAATAAAGCTTTTTTTTTTTTTTTAGAAACCTTCATTTGTTTGGATTCTTTCCAAGACTCCATCGCTGAATATGTACTCCTATTTATTTATTCATTTATTATTTTAAAAGAGGATTCAAAAGAAGTTGCCAGAACCCAGAAACTTTATGGTATGATTATTTAAAATGGTTTGTCTAGCCCATTGGCTGGGGGGGACTATGTTAAGGATGTGAATGAGGTAAATAACACCTTTTGGGATGTTGTTTGGTGCCACTGAATATTACTTAAAGCGGCCCCATGAACAAAAGATTTGAATTCTGTTTCATCCTGTGCCATTCTCATACTTCTTGACACACAAGAGCCCACTGCAGCAGTCACTGTGTCAATTCATCATGTCGAGGGTTCACCAAAATCATTCGCCACTCTTCCCAGCATCATATTCCTCTCCAAGGAACAGCCTCTCCTAGCAACATGCCTGAAGTATGTGAGGCAAAGTTTCATTATTCTAGCCTCCAAACACTTCGGCTGCAGCCTCTCCAAGACATTTTCTTTTGTTCTCTTGGTTGTTCATGGGATGTTCAGTGCTCTTCTCCAACACCACAGCTCAAAGGAGGCAACTGTTTTTCTATTACCTTTATTCATTACCCAGCTCCCAGATGCATAGCAAGTGAATAGAAAGACCATGGCCTAAATCAGATGCATCTTAGTTCTCAAACAGACATCATTACTCCTCAATAATTTGAAGAGGCCCCTAACTGCAGATTTTCCCAGTGCAATGTGTCTCCTTATTTCCTGACTGCTGGCACCAAGGGTTTTAAATGTGGATCCAAGCAAGATGAAGCTGTTGACAGTTTCAGTATCCTCTCTATTCATCATGATGCTGCCTATCAGTTCAGTGGAAAGAATCTTTGTTTTCTTGACACTAAGATACAATCCATACCGAAAGCTGCATTCTCTGATCTTCTGCAACAAGTGTTGAAGTCCTCCTAACTTCAGCAACCAAGGTTTTGTGACCTGCATAATGTAGGTTATTGATGAGTGTCCTTACAATTCTGATGCCACACTCTTCTTTCATAGAGTCCCGCTTCTCGAAAAATTTGCTCAGCATACAGATTGAATAGGTATGGAGAAAAAACACAACCTTGACACACTCCCTTCTCAATTTTAAACCAAGCAGTGTTCTACCAATCTGTTCGCACAACAGCCTCCTGGTCCAGGTGTAGGTTCCGCATGAGCACAGGAACATGCAAATAAGGTGTGTAGACTACTAATGGTGTAATTAAATCTTATCATCTTATGAGGCTTAAATGTAACAGGTTGAAGATGGGAATTTCACTCTTAGCAGGAAAGAAGAGTCGAGAGGGTCTAATTCAGAGTCAAAGATATGAAAATTGATGGAGATTGAGACACCAAG